CTTGAGCCACAGGCGCCGAGCCAGGTTGCTTTTTTTGAGAGAGTCTCACTTTGTCACCCTTGGTAAAGTACCATGGCTTCACAGCTCACAACAACCTCAAACTCTTGGGCTCAAGCGATTCTCTTGCCTTAGCCTCTTGAGTAGCTGGGACTACAGATGCCTGCCACGATGCCCGGCTATTTTTATAGACGAGGTATCACTCTGGCTCAGGCTGGTCTTGAACTCTTGAGCTCAGGTGGTCTACCTGCCTTGGCCTCCAGAGTGCTAGGCAGGCATGAGCCACCACACCTGGCCATACGTGCAGGTTTTTAATAGCATAGACTCTCACTACTAGAAGTTTTATTTTTTGCCATTCTCAGAAGTTATAGCAGGGACAAGTGCAAGTGGGTGGAATGACCATGCCTCAGTAGTAGTGGTGGTGGTCTGAAGAGTGGAGCGGGCTCATGTCATGGATGCTTTATTTTCTGTTTAGATTGAAGGCCGTGTTCTACCGATGGAAAGAATTAACTTAAGAAACACTTCATTTATCACATCTCAGGAACTAAACTGGATTAAGGAAGTAACCAGAGACCTTTCCATCTTGACTGTAAGTGATTTTTTAAGTAAAAAGAGGACGTGTATTCCCAAGATTGTGGAAGTTAGGAAGCAGAAATGATCTAATGTCCTCTTTTTGAGAGAAAGTACCAACTGATTTTCTATTCTAAATTATCTACTGAACAAGAGTCCTTCAAACTTCAGTTCATGAATTGTTAGAAGTAAGCCATTTGCCAGACTTAGGAAAAGGAAGCAAGTTGCTAGGATAGTTCACATAGTACCAACATGCTACTCATCTTCGTCCTTCCTTCCTTTCTCTTTTCTCTGTCTTTTTCCCTGAGAGCTCCTAGAGAGTGTTTTTATACAGGAAGGAAGTCAACTTAAATTAAAGCACTACTGAGAGGCCCAGGCAGGTGGATTGCTTGAGCTCAGGAATTCAAGACCAGCCTGAGCAAGAGCAAGACTCTGTTTCTAAAAATAATCAGATATTGTGGTAGGCACCTATAGTCCCAGCTGATCAGGAGGTTGAGGCAGGAGGATCACTTGAGCAAGAGTTTGAGGTTGCTGTGAACTGTGATGCCATGGCACTGTATTGGGGGCAAGAAAGTAACTCTGAAAAAAAAAATTAAACCAGTACTCTACTTAAGCAACTAAACATACTAGCTGTTTGTATCAAAGAAAAAGATGGTGTATAATTACTTCTAAAGGTTTTTGACTAGTCTTTGTGGCCATGTATAAATCTAGTTTTAAAAATGTTTTATTCAGGCTGGGCACAGTGGCTCACACCTGTAATCCTAGCACTCTAGGAGGCCAAGGCGGGTAAACTGCTTAAGCTCATAAGTTGGAGACTAGCCTGAGCAAGTACGAGATCCCCATCTCTACTAAAAATAGAAAAACTGAGGCAAGAGGATTGCTTGAACCTAAGAGTTGGAGGTTCTTGTGAGCTATGATGCCACGGCACTCTACCCAGGGTGACAGCTTGAGACTCTCTGTCTCAAAAAAAAAAAAAAAAAGTTTTATTCAATTACATGCTCATGAACAATAAAACTCAAATTTAGTCTGGTACAGGGTAAGGGGAGGAAGGAGAAGGAAGGTAGGGGCATGGAGAAGGACGATTGACAGAAGAAGGACGATTGACAAAGATGGACTTTGCCTTAGAAGTGAAAACAATGTGATCTGAAAATTTGTACCCTCTTATTAATTTGAA